TATTCTTTTTTAAAGTGTGTAATTCCTCTTTTAGATCTTGTAATAATTTGCTCACCTCCTAGAACTCGTTGGCTCCTTTATCCTTTGTCTTATGCAGTTCGTCATCTCTCTTCCCTTCCATCTCTGTTAGCTTCACTATTATGAATATTCTAAATTCTTTATCAGACATTTCCCTGATTTCCATTGTACTTATCTGAGGATGAAAAGGAGCTATTCTTTTCCCTTGGAGTAGAGGCATTTTCTTGCTTTCTCATATTTCTTCTGGTCTTGTTGTGATTTCTAGTCATCTGATGGATGGTGTGTTTCTTCCCAAACTTGAATTTCAATTTGAGCGTTCAGGAGCGTGCAGAAAGAGGTGATCTGGAATCTCTTCGCCATTCCATTTTGATCTTTTTGTGCAGCAGATTCAGTAGATATCTAGGACTACATTAACCTTAATAATATTTGGACGTTTGGCTATGGTTCCCTTATATCTGTCTAGAAACAGTGAATGGAGATTGAAGAGCAAAGAGATGAGATAAAAGAAAAAGAAAAATAAACACACAGAGAGAAACAACAACAACAACAAAAACCTAGAAACAGAGAAAAATTATTACTGTTTTTTTAAAAAGGCAAAAAATAGAAAACCATGTGGCATGCTTGCACGCCGCACAGAATCACTAGTTCCTAGGAGCCGTGAAGGTGTCTTCTTCTGAAGGTGTCTTCTTCTGAAGGCCTATCCCCTTTCCTCTCCTAGGTTGGGGGGGAAGAAGGGATTATTAACAAGATAAAGGGAAAGGATAGGCTGAAAGCCGAGAAAATGCTTCACCTTAAAAAACTTTAAACAGGGGGACCAGCAGTTAGCATAATGGCTATGTTGCTGGACTCCCACGTAATCGACTACGGTTCGAGTCCTGGACCCAGTGCCTTAAACTCATACCAGGTGCGTGTGCGTGTGTGCCCAAGATCCTGAGAGGAGAATGGCGGAGAAGGGATTGCGGCGTGACCATCCCCCCTAGGGGGTGATTTCTCACTTTCTATCTCTCTATCTCTCTCTGTCTGTCTGGCGAGTGCACGTGCTCTCTAGCAAAAAACCTCTCCAAAAAAAAAAAAAACCCATAATGCAATGTTTATAAACCCATGATTCAACACAAACTATCCAGAATTGCAAAAACCTCTCAAAAAAATATCAACAGGAAAAATTACAAAAAAAAAATGAGAAGATAGAGACAGAGGCAGAGAGAGACAGAGACAGAAGGCTTGAAAGGCTTCCTGTCACTTGAGTTTGTGGGCTGGAGGCTGAATTATCAGTAGAAAATCTTCATTTCTCTTATTTCTCTGGAGCCCTGAAGGTGTCTTCTTCTGTCATCCTGTCCCCTTGCCTCTCCAAAACTTATCCTTTTTTTGTCAGACTATGTCCAACATTTTTCCTTTGGATCTTAGTTCAGATATCTATCTATCTCTATCTATCATCTATCTATCTATCTATCTATCTATCTATCTATCTATCTATCTACATATCGATATTTCTATTTAAAATCACTATATTTTTTTTTCTGAAAGGTTTTCTATCTTATTACTTCTCTGGTTTGTATTAACTACCTTGATTATGTACTCCATCCAATTATACTACATTAGAATTTCCCCTCTTTATGTTTGATTCTCCTGATTTGTCTGTATCACACAGACTAGAATTACATTGGAAGTGTTTAGCATTATATGTCCAATGCTTGGCAAGAAACATCAGGCACACAAACAGTGACTGTTGGATATACACTGTTGTTGAATCTACCTTGGTTTGTATATTCTTTTCTTTTTTTTTTTTTTTAGTGGTTTTGCTT